AAAAAAAAAAAAAAAAAAAAAAAAAAAAAAAAAAAAAAAAAATCAGCTATTTGACAACCCTGCGTTTATGGACAATTTTATAGAATTCATTATCATTACTAAAATTTAATTAACTTGATTTTATGCGTTATTGAATCTTTATAAGTTAATAATCCAAGGTGGGTGGATCGAATATGTGCAAATTTAGATTCAGAATCGTATAAATTTTGAATGTAAAATGGTATTCTTGTTTAAATTTGAAATGGAATTTCATAAATAGCAATTTTAAATATCGAATTAAATTGAAATTTTAATTATATTCAGTTTGGATAATTCTATAACATATGTTTCCATTTTAGGTGTTATAGAATTCATTTTGTCTATGATCATTTCTAACAATTTAATTAACTAGTTTTCATGTTTTATTAGATCTTTATAACAGTTATTCACAATATATGGTCACTTTGTCAAGTAAATGATCACTTCTATCTCCCTAGTTAGAGCTAGCTAGTATTACTTTTTACCTTTCAATTTGAAATATACTCTTTTGTTCCTAAATTTCAAATCATAGTCTAAGAAGTTCACTAATTACAACAAACATGATGTTTTCGATAAATGCATATACACAAATACCAATGGGACTATATTTTCTGGACCAATTAATGAGTGGTCACAAAATCTAAGGGCTGATTGTTTATTGATTCAACTAGTTTTTATTTGGTTTGTTTTTTAACTATAACTAGTACAGAGCCCGTGCGATGCACGGGGTGCACAACTTTAAGGCTATTTATCCAGCCTTATAATTATATAAATGAATAAACAAAAATTTACGGTATATATATAGTACGTGGCCTGTGCGAGACACGAGATATATTTATTTGGAGATTATTATACTATAAAATGCAATATTCAATAAAAGTTTTACAATACACGAAAATAAATACAAATAATGTAAATATCTAATTACATACACGATATGTGGAATAAATAAATTAAATTGCAAATCTGAAAATATAATTTAAAAAAATCAAAAATATATTTCACTAAACATGTGCAAAAATTTCTAAATACATACACGAAAATAAAAAAAATAAAACGAAATATATGTTTCAAATTTCAAAATTAAAACAATAATTCAAATAATTTGGCTTACAGTTTTATCATGTAGAACCAACTCGAGATATGATTTGTATGTGTTGCCCTAGTCTTGGAAAACATTCTCACAATTCGAACTTTGAGCATAGGTCTATTAGACCTATTGACTTGTTTGATTAACCCAAATTCTTGATTCATTGTTTAGAATAAAAGACTGATTGGGGATATTTTTTGTTCGAGAGGTTGATAGTGAGGAAGATGATGACTTGATATTTTGAGATTTGTAATTTATAATGGGTAGAGTAGATATATATTGTTGTTAATATTTTTATTAGAAAATCTGAATTTGAATATACAGAAATCGGTTGAATAAAATCAGAACTGATTTCTATACAATTAGATAATAAATAAAGCCTTTTTATTTTAGTAAAGCTTTACGTACTTTTTTTACTTATCGGATGTTATGGGGTTTTTTTGTTAAACCGATTTTATGGGATATAATGCAAATAAAATTAGAGAATTGAACAAAATCAAAATAGATTTCCATACAATTAGATAATAAGAAAGAATTAGATAAGGAAAAGAATGAATTAAATAAGGGATTTTGAATCTGTTTTTTTTTTAGTATAGATAGACTTTACGTACAAATTTTGACTTCACCGATTTTATGTGATTTGTTTTGACAAAATCGATGTTAATATGGAATAAGACAAATAAATAAAGCCTTTTTTTTAATTTAGTAAAGGTTTTACGTCCTTTTTTTATTTATCAGATGTTATGAGATTCTTTTTCTTAAACTAATTTTATGGGATATAAGACAAATAAATAAAATAATTAAATAAAATTCTGGATAGAAATAACAATGCAATAATTACGTTCACTTTTTAACTTACTAATGGTAAATAGGATACCTTATTATATAAATAAAGATTTTGATTGTTTTTGCTCACCCGATTTTATGGGATTTTTATGCATTAGAAGGAATTTTTTATGGGACTTACATACAGAATTTTTTATGTTAAAATTTATAAGAATGATTTTTATATCAGCATAAATTATAAATGCATTAATTACTACTTGATAAAATTAGAAGTTCATTAATTAAGTTTGACTTTTCTACCTACTATATTTAGTAAATAGGATCCCCTTTAATATAAGTATAGATTAATTTTGAAAAAATGTGGTATGGTTAGTTTTAGTGGATATATTAAAATAATATTTAAATAAAATAATTATAGTTGATTTGATGTAAAGTATGAGAAAAATGATTAGAGGTAAAGGTTAGTTAAAATTATGTGTGGATGAATAGTGAATTAAAATTGATGTGATGTGTGAAAATAATTGGTTGATATTATTTAATTTTATTAATAATATGACAAATAGTATATTGGGTTAAAGTTGAGTTAAATTTGAGTTTTGATTGGTTTTTTTACTGTTGAAAACATAAACAATCGCCCCATAAGAACTCTTTTGTCTTATTTTTCCCCTTCCTTTTCTGCATATATTTTTTATTCTGTTGTGTAAAAGTGGAATTTACACTACTTATCATCACATTATTATATGTGAAAGATGTCTTGGAATGTGTGCCCCTTTGCCTATAAAAGGGGCCAAATGCATTGTAATGTTTGTACGAAAAGAAGAAGAAATAAAGAAAAGAGCATCTTGTGATTTATATCCAGTTTTTACATTGTGTTCTTTATTTTCATCGCATTTCATAACACGTTATCAGCACGAGCGCTCTACCCGGTCAAGAAAGGTAGGAATATAATAATAATAATATATATGTATATGTATTATATTTTACTAATATACATATTACCATTATTCTTGACAAGTTAGGCTCTGTCACAGTCAAGGATATGTGGGATGAATATACTAAATATGAATATATTACCATTATTCTTGACAAGTTAGGATCTACCACAGTCAAGGATATGTATATACTAAATATGATATTATTTACACATTACCATTATTATTGACAAATTAGGCTATGCCATAGTCAATAATATGTGGTAAGATCATATTATTAAGTTTGCTTATGAATTATTATTCAAGTTATAATAAATAATATTATTACTTATACTTAACACCCACAAAATGGTTTACCCAGTAATGTGGCGTGAAATTTATAAGTGTTTATTCTTGTACTCACCGTAAAATTTATCAAATAATATGGAGCATTTTTTTTACTTGCTTTGTTATATTCACGAAAATGTTCATCAAATAATTCGAAAAAAACTTTAAGCTAATATGCATGATTAATTAGAGTTTTTATAATTAACACATATTGTTATATGTTATTTTAGTTAAAATAAAATGATCTTACCACAACCTGAAAACAGCCAAACACATATGCGTGGACATACCTCGGGACGTGGCCGGAGTCGTGGACGTGGACGTGGCCGTGGCTGTGGATATGGTCCAGATCGCCGATTTGACCAAGTCCACAAATTTCACCGAGGATATAACTCGAGCCAGGGATATAATCGTGGGCGAGGCCGTAACTATGCCCAAAATTTTGAAAGGGGGAGAAATTTCCAGCCAAGATTTGAACAGAATAGTGTGACGGAGAATAATGATGAAAAGACATTTTATCGATGTGGAAGGACAGGACATTGGGCACGCAATTGTCGTGCTCCGAGACAAGTTGTTTATAATTATAACAATTCCCAGAAATCAAAAGATAAGAATATAGAAACCAATTTTATGATTGGGGAACCCTATGAAAATGATTCAACACGTGTGGATGATGAATATGGCATCGATGACATATTGAACCTGGATTTTGCTGATGCGGTAGTTGAAGACCAAGCTGGAAATGACCAAGAGAATAACTGATGATCATGTTTTTTTTATTGCTTTCTTAGTTTTGTTGTATTTGTGTGTTTTTATCTGTATTTCGATTTTAATCAATAATAAATGTTGTTTTCTTTTAGATCATGAATCGATCTCGAATCCAAAATGGAGATATATGTCTTGCAGATTGTGCCACAATTCATACTATACTCAAGGACAGAAAATATTTCGTCAACTTGAAATTAAATAAAGCAAAAGTAAACACAATATCCGGAAATGCAAAGATAATTGAGGGTTCTGGAAAAGCCATATTTTTTATGATGGGAGGTACAAAGTTTACATTGAATGATGCATTATTCTCCCCATAATCAACAAGAAATTTGTTGAGTTTTAAAGATATCCGAATGAACGGATACCATGTTGAAACAATGAATAAAGGGGGAGTTGAATATCTTTGCATTACCTCAAATATTGCGGGAAATGAATATGTTTTGGAGAAATTACCAGCTTTATCCTCGGGCTTATATTACACCCGCATTCATATTATCGAGACTTATGCTGCAACAAATTCACAGTCGGTTGAAATGTTTAAACTTTGGCATGATCGACTTGGTCATCCTGGCTCAATAATGATGCGAAGAATTATTGAAAATTCTAGTGGGCCATCCATTAAAAAATCAGAGGATACTGCAAACACATGAATTGACGTGTGCCTCATGTTCTCAAGGGAAATTGATAATAAGACCATCACATACTAAAGTCGGACATGAATCACCATTATTTTTAGAAAGGATTCATGGTGATATATGTGGACCTATTCATCCACCTTGTGGTCCATTCAGATATTTTATGGTGTTAATTGATACCTCTAGAAGATGGTCTCACGTGAGTTTGTTATCCACTAGAAATGTGGCATTTGCTAAATTACTTGCCGAACTTATCAAATTAAGGGTTCAATTCCAAGATTATATTATCAAAAGGGTCAGACTTGACAATGCTGGAGAGTTTACATCTCAAGCATTTATGATTATTGTATGGCAGTGGGAATTGATGTTGAACATCCTGTAGCACATGTTCATACTCAAAATGGTCTAGCAGAATCATTGATTAAACGACTGCAGCTTATAGCCAGACCATTGATAATAAGGACAAAACTCCCCACTTCAGTATGGGGACATGCTATTCTGCATGCAGATAATCTAATTCGCATAAGACCGAGTGCACACCATACATACTCTCCATTACAGTTGGCATCTGGTCGAGAACCAAATATTGCACATATAAGAATTTTTGGTTGTGCAGTATATGTACCTATTGGTCCGCCCCAACGTACGAAAATGGGGCCTCAAAGAAGGTTGGGAATATATGTTGGATATGAATCTCCATCAATAATAAAATACCTTGAGCCAAAAACATGTGATGTTTTTACAGCTCAGTTTGATGATTGTCATTTTAATGAAGAATTATTTCCCCCTTTAGATGGGAATGAAAAGTCAATTGAAAGAAATATTGAATGGAGAACATCATCACTATCATATCTTGATCCTCCCACCAAACAAAGAGAGCAAGAAGTTCAGAAGATCATACATCTGCAGAATATTGCAAATCAATTGCCAGATGCATTTACTGACACAAAAAGGGTGACAAAATCACATGTTCCAGCTGTAAATGCCCCTGCTCGAATTTAGATTATAAAATAAATGGCAAATGACGATGTGCCAAAAGAATTAAAGGTACGCTTGAAACGAGGAAGACCAGTGGGGTCTAAAGATAAGAACCCTCGAAAGAAAAGAGAAATTCAAGATTCGAATTTGAAAAAGAATCAAGATGATGGAAAAATTTCGGAACGAAATGAAAATATTGAAATCTCCATCAATTACGTAAATAATGAGAAACTTTGGAAGCGTGATGAGATCATTGATGATGCATTCACATATATGGTATCACAAGAAACTGATAAAGAAGTTGAGGATCCTGAACCAAAATCTATGATTGAATGCCAGAAAAGACATGATAGGGACAAGTGGAAAGATGCTATTCAAGCCGAGTTAGATTCACTTAATAAACGAAAGGTGTTTGGACCTATTACCATTATACCCAAAGACATAAAACCTATTGGGTACAGATGGGTTTTTGTGAGAAAAAGAAATAAGAAAAATGAGATCACAAGATATAAAGCTCGCCTTGTAGCACAAGGATTCTCCCAGAGGCCTGGAATCAATTATGATGAAACATATTCCACTGTTATGGATGCGATTACTTTCAGATACTTGATTAGTTTGGCCATCCATGAAAATCTTGAGTTGCGTCTTATGGATGTTGTGACTGCTTACTTATATGGATCGCTAGACGCTGATATTTATATGAAAATTCCAGAAGGAATTAGAATTCCCGAAGCGCTAAAGTCCAAACCTAAAGAGTTATGTGCGATAAAACTGCAAAGATCATTGTATGGCTTGAAACAATCCGGGCGTATGTGGTACAATTGTTTGAGTGAACAATTGCTTAAACGGGGATACATAAATAATCAAATATGCCTGTGTGTTTTTATAAAAAGATCACAAGATGGAGTTGTGATAATTGATGTCTATCGATGATCTTAATATTATTGGGACTACAAATGAAATCCAAGAAGCAGTCACTTTACTGAAAGGCGAGTTTGAAATGATAGATCTCGGATAGACCAAATATTGTCTCGGCTTGCAAATAGAACGAGTTCAAAATGGGATATTTGTCCATCAATCTAATTACACTAAAAGAATACTGAAACGATTCAATATGAACAAGGCGAATCCACTTAGTACCCCAATGGTCAATCGAACATTAGATGTTGAAAAGGATCCGTTTCGACCTTGTGATGAAGATGAAGAAATACTTGGTCCTAAAGTACCATATATGAGTGCAATAGGAGCTCTTATGTATCTTGCTAATAGCACCAGACCAGATATATCTTTCGCTACCAACTTATTAGCAAGATATAATTCGACACCTACGAGGAGACATTGGAATGGAATCAAACATATATTCCGTTATCTCCAAGGGACAATCGATTTGGGACTGTTTTACTCTAATGATAAAAAACATGAAATAATCGGTTTTGCAGATGCAGGATATCTATCAGACCCCTATAAAGCAAGATCTCAAACCGGTTATGTTTTCACGATTGGTGGAACTGCATTTTCTTGGCGCTCCCAGAAACAAACATTAGTCGTGACGTCTTCAAACCATGCTGAGATCATTGCATTTCATGAAGCAACTAGGGAAAGTATCTGGCTCAGAAACATGACTCAACATATTCAACAAGCCAGTGGACTATTGAACAATAATGACCCGGCGGTAATATTCGAAGACAATGCAGCATGTGTCGCTCAAACCAAAGAAGGATACATCAAGAATGACAGAACTAAACATATCCCACCAAAGTTCTTCTCATATGCGCAAGAGCTTGAAAGAAACAAATAAATCAAAGTTCAATACATTCGATCAAGCGATAATGCAACTGATTTGTTTACAAAGGCGCTTCCGACGACAATATTTCGAAAGCACGTACACAATATTGGAATGAGACATCTTCGGGACTTGCACAAATGATAACTCGAGGGGGAGTATGTGTGGCTGTACTCTTTTTTCCTTATCTCGGTTTTTTTTCCCACAGGGTTTTTCCAGATACGGTTTTTAACGAGGCAGCATAAACGCACATTTAATAGTGGTAATTCCAAGGGGGAGTGTTGTGTAAAAGTGGAATTTACCACTACTTATCATCACATTATTATATGTGAAAGATGTCTTGGAATGTGTGCCCCTTTGCCTATAAAAGGGGCCAAATGCATTGTAATGTTTGTACGAAAAGAAGAAGAAAGAAAGAAAAGAGCATCTTGTGATTTATATCCAGTTTTTACATTGTGTTATTTATTTTCATCGCATTTCATAACATATTCTTAATTTTTAGCAGTACAAACCTAACTTGGTAAAATTTGAAAAACTTAAATACATAAGTCAGTCGACTTTTATTCAATTAGTACTTCATAATATTTTCTACACTTCATAATACTTCATTCAAAACTTGACTTTGGTTGGATGCTTGCCTCTTATTTTTAATTTGCCACACAAATATTGTTCTCATCCAATTTTTGTATGAGGTGTGGTTATCATATTAAAAAAAAAGGTAAAAGCAGTGACCTTGCCATGATGTTACATATTAAGCAAGAAGATCGTGTATGAAATGCAAAGACAACGATCGTGTTAAAAGTACAAAAGTTCACTAATTTTTGTATGTGCAAAGTTATCATAAATTTCCAAAAATATGTGTCTGATCCTAGTGAGATACATCAATATGTAACTTTACCGATCTTATACACATCTAACATATAGAAAAAGTTACAGGTCTATACATGTATGTGTAATAGGAAACATCATTAACGATGTTGATGGCGTCTTTGACATAGACCGTTTTTTTCACCCATTTGCATTAGTAAGTACTGATTGGCAAGTCGTTCTTCCCATAGAATGATATTCAACTGAAGTGTCCAGGGGGCACCTTTTGCACGGATATTTGGAATTCAGATCAGTATTTGATGATGGCTTCGCCGTGGGATGATACTTTTATGAAGCATCCCAGGGAGCATCTTAGCACACATATGTCATTACTTTTGTAGATCTGTGTTTTTGCCGATCATGGCGGCGACTTGTAGTTTCAACTGACCTTTATGTATCTTGACTTGTGGAAGAGGTTTACTCCATGGGTCATTTCTTCTCCTGGCCCCTCGAGCACGTATAGTAACTCCGTTAGGCGATGGACATGTTGGGAGATTAATATATGGTATAATTTAGTGATCTTCCACTAATTATATGACGATTGTCGAGTTTACTGATTTTAAGATCTAAGGACAAGATCTGACAGTTGATTATTTGATAGGCCTTTGCCATATTTTTCCCAGGCCCCCGGCTATTAAGAAAGCTGTCGTTTCTCTATATTGAAGAGTTTTACACCCTCGTCATTCTTG